GGAACAATGCCCTTTTGTGATTGGAGGTACCCCAACCATATGTAGCCAATAGCAAGGAAGATATCGATTCAAATGAGAGGTCAAAATTATGATTCACAGTTCCTATTCATTCTATCCTCTTTCTTCCTAAAAGCCTTAGTTAGATTCTAATCTCGTGTTAACAATTTTTTTAATTCTTTTAAGAAAGTGGGTTAAAACCTAATCAATATAATTTATTTTTATAAAAAAATTAAGAAAAATTAAATATTTCGTTTCTACAATAAATTATAATTGCATGAATGGAAAAATGACAATAAGTTTGTTTGACATTGAATATTCTTATCTGGATCATACTTTTGAAAAGAAAAATGAGAAATGCCTTTCTACCGGCTATGACAAAGATGATAAATCCATTTATATGTTGAAAGAAAGAGCACACAAGCCTTCACTTCCATTTCACAATCACAAATACAAAAGAAAATGTTATAGGAACTTATCTAGTTGTGGAAACACTCAAAGCTCTTTGAACCTTTCTTATGAGTTTAAAACCACAAATTCCATCAAAATTGACATTCATTTCTTCTATCATGAACAATACTCGTGCAAATGAAAGAGAAAAGTGTCAAAAGAAGAGAAAATCCACCATATGTGAATCCTCTAGCTTTAGGACATCAAGGAGAAAATACTACAGCAACAAAAATGAAGAAGAGATGAACAAGGGAGTTTCAACAACATTGAAGCTTTACGATGACCCATGGAAGATCAAGAAGACACTAACTATTTGATCACTTTCTTATCCTTTTATGTTTTGAGGAAGTGATCTCCTTAAACTCAGATAATGCGTCGTAGATGTTTGAAGCTTTGATTAATTTTATTATCTTCAGTCATGTCTATTTTTTGTTTTCTTTTTGTTTTGTTTTGGTTTTTGGGCACTATGATTGGTTTTATATTTTAGTGATAAGAGGGAGAAAGGAAAGAAACAGAGATTTGTAAAAATGACATATCTTATTGATGAATGTAAAAACTTATACAAGCCCTTATTTTGAACTCGTGACCATGGGCGAAGGTCATGAGTTTGAGCATGAATTAAATTTTTTATTTTTTTTTTGGAAAAAGAGAGCCCTCAACTCTAGTAATCTCTCAATTTTATACTCCAAGGTCACTCCTCGTCATGCTTGTGCAGTGGGTGCTTGTCGATGCCAGGTGTGTTGGTGTCAAATTTCAACCACCCAGCGTCTATAAGTCCTTGTACACGGAATTGTAGGGCCTTCCATCGTTCCACGGAATGCCCTGGAGAGTTAGAGTGATAGTAACACCTTTCCTCGGGTTTGTACCACAACGGGTAAGGAGGGTCCATCTTCTTCGTTGGAGGAAGTCGGACTATCATCGAAGCATCTAGGAGTTGAGGTAGTAGCTCTGTGTATGTGGTGGGAATTTTGTCTACTACCTTGTCATCTCTAGGCTTTGCCTATGGTGTGGCTTGACTTTTTGGAGTAAAGATGATGGCGTGGACCCCTTCTTCCCTCTTCTTTTCATAGATTTTCCTGGGGTCATAAGTTGTCGCAGCCTTCCCTATCTTCCTGCTTTTTAAGCCTTGCTCAACCCTTTCACCTATGGTGACTATGTCGGCAAAAAGGGTCGACGTGTTCCCTATCATCTTGTCATAATAGGGTCCATTTAAAGAGTTGATGAACATTGTCACCACCTCCTTGTCAGATAATGAAGGCTCTATTTGCGCAGCCAATTCCCTCCATCTTTGTGCATAGGTTTTGGAGGACTCATCGCCCTTCTTGCTCAAGCTTTGTAAATCAGACCTATCAGGAATTAGGTCAATCTTATACTTGTATCGACGGAGAAAAGCGTCGGCTAATTGTTTCCATGTCTGGATCTTTCCTCCATCCAGCTGCGTGTACTAGTTGAGTGCAGCATCTGAAAGGCTTTCCTGAAAATAGTGTATCAGGAGCTTTTCATTGCCCACGTAGGCTGCCATCTTCCAACAATACATTATTAGATGTTCTTTTGGACAACCTGCTCTGGTGTACTTTTGGAAGTCAGGGATTTTGAACTTGGCAGGGAATTGGATTTCCTGCACCAAGCACATATCCGCAGCCTTTTGAACATCAAAATTATGGCCTTCCACAACTCTCCGTGTTTCTTCCAATACGTTCAAATGTTCTTTGGAAACGTCACCAACGTTGCGAGTACTATTGTCGTGCTGCAATTTGTTCATGGTGATGAGTCATTATTTTCCCCTATTTTCTTACCTTTCTGTACTTATTTTAATCTCTGATTTGCGCTTAATTGTTGATTATCTGCACTGTTTTCTATTTGGGCTTTAATTGGACCAGTAATTCATATTTTAACTAATTTGAATTTTCTGAATCTAATTATTCCAAATTTTTATTTTCAGGGCATTTTAATAATTAATTGGGCTTGGAATTAATTTTTGGACTTCAAGAGTAGCTGCCACGTCATCTTCCATGTCACCACTGCACCATTTTTCCACCTCAGCATTTAATTGCAATCTGTATTTTATTTTATTGTATTATTGGGTCAGACTTGTATGGTAGAGGGGCCCAATTTTGTTTTAGGTTTAGGTCTAGGTTAGGGCTGACTTGGCAGCCACTAACAAGAGGGGTCTGATGTGACTACGTGAACAGTGAGTCATGTGAATGTGTTGTCAAAATTTTGTTTAGGGTGGTGTTTATTGAAGTGATGTCTTAGAATTATCTGAATGTTGAGGATTGTCTATTTGTGGAGCGGGGAGCTATTATGGTATCAACATGGTGTTGAGGGTGGATGTGGCTTGAGATGTTTGGTTTTATTGGGTTGATGGGATCATTGTTGTGGGGAGACTTTGCCCGTTGCTTGGTAGTTGAATCCCACGTGCTGAGGATTCTTCTAAGTCTTCATTTTATTACTATTTTAGCTTTGAATTTTTCTTGTTTTGAAGTTTTGCCTTTTTCTGTATTGTTATTTGTCGTCACTATTGATGGAGAGATTCCTTTTCTCCATGATGATGGTGCTTGTCGGATCTTTATTGATAAGTATAATTTTGAAAGCCACTCCTGGCTTTGGTGAGGGAGCCATTCCTGGTCTTGGCATTCTCTTGAATCATCCTTGATTTGGTTGAAGAGTAAAGCTTGGTCGAAGATAGAACAAAGCATGGCGACCTCTTTATGCTTGTAAGCTCGCTTATTCTTCCTCGATGAGTTCTGCCCGATCTTGTCAACATTTCTTTCTTTGCTTGGTGGCCATATGGAACCATTTGTAGGAATTGCCCCTGTTAGGCTAGGCTTTTGACATGGTTTTGTCTCTTGAGGCCTTGCTTGGTTGTTGAGCTTTTTGGCATTTGTAGGTGCTTCGGCTTGATGATTCCCTGTGACCCGTTACAGTTACACACAAACAAAGAATGCAAGGATGCAAAATAAAATGCAAAGCAAGAATTGATTGAAGGTTTTATATTTATTTTTATTTTTTTTATTTTTTTTGAAATTCTTACCCTTTTATGCACACTTGTGCCATGTGCATGTTATGCAATGATGCTTCTATGCTAATTCTTAAAATGCATATTGATTTTACTTTGAAGAAATTAATCTATGCGCATTAATTATTGACGTGAATTGTTAGCCTTTAGCCATGTAGAATTTATTCCAGGTGTTGCTTCTTGAACCTGAGACTTGTGTAGTTTGGTCTTCCTGCCTGTATCGGATATGATCTGTTAGCCCTTAGATTAGGTGTACCTAGTCACATTTTTTAATAATATATTAACATATTATTATATTTATCATGTGGATAAAAGTAATTTTTAGTGATATGTATTGTGTCATTTTATGGTGTATGTCACTATACGAAAATTTTCTTGTAGTGTCACTCTCCTTTTTCATTATTATAAATAAGATTTCACTATTATTTTAATAATCTTGTTAATTTTTTAATCATTTTCAATTTCTCTTTCACATTAATATATCTTCACTTCTTTAAATTTTAACATGAATTACTTTTTAACTGATGATATTTAAAATTTCATTTTTCATCTATAATCTCGTATTATTAAACACTCAAGCCTGTACAATATTAATTCAAGTCCTTTTTTTAATTACGTGAGGTAATATCTTATTTTAATTTTTCATTGGGCACGTATCTTTATTATCTGTTAAAACATACTAAATTATATAGAAGGTAGATTTGACACCCTTTAAACCCAACGGCACACCTGCTTTAATTATGTAACATTATAATTAAATCACAGGAAACAAGTATATCAAAATGAATTCAGCTGTTGATCTTAATAAACTTATGAGTAAATTATGTTCCGAGTGATAAAATATTTACATCATTTTCCAACTTATGTCAAAATATACGATTTTATCTATTTAATTTAGTACTGTTAATATAAATTATATTCTCCTCTTTAAGATATATAAGAATTATATTTATTATATATTTATTATATATTAAATTATAAAGTAAATTACACTTTTATCCCTTAAGAGATATTTGGTCGGAAATAAATTTTTTCATATTTAGGAACCATGATTCTTGATAATTATGAATCTCGGGAATTATAATTTATGAAAATAACTAAAATTTGTTTGGTTATTCATAAAAGTTCCTAAAAGATTTCATATACTGGATTTCCGAGAATTAAATATTTTTATGTTTTGTTACAATAGTATATTCTTGGATATATAAATATTTTTTTTACAAAAATATCATTTTTAAAACTAAACTCATTAGATATAGTTACTTACTAAAATTTTATTTAAAAATATGACATTAAAATATTTTTAAAAGTTGAAAATTTATAGTTAATATTATTTAAATACATAATTTAACAAGAGAGAGAGAGAGAG